TATTGTTGAAGGCTTTCATGGCCGGAATCACTGGGTTGTTGTAGGTTTTTTCGGGCTATATGGCCATGGTCTAGAGCAGTGGTTCTCAACCTTCCTAATGCCGCGACCCCTTAACACCCTTCCTCATGTTATGGTGACCCCCAACCATAACATTATTTTTGTGGCAACTTCATAATTGTAATTTGGCTATTGTTATGGATTGTAATGTAAATATCTGAAATGCATGATGTATTTTCATTCACTGGACCAAATTTGGCACAAATACCCAATATGCCCAAATTTGAATACTGGTGGGGTTGGGGGAGAGTATTGATTTTGTCCTGTGGGAGTTGTAGTTGCTGGGTTTTATAGTTCACCTACAATCAAAGAGCATTCTGAATTCTACCAACAATGGAATTGAATCAAACTTGGCACACAGAACTCCCATGACCAACAAAAAATACTGGAAGGGTTTGGTGGGCATTGACCTTGAATTTTGGGAGTTGTAGCTCACCTACATCCACAGAGCACTGTGGACTCAAACAATGATGGATCTGGACCAAACTTGGCATGAATTCTCAATATGCCCAAATGTGAACACTGATGGAGTTTGGGGGGAAAGACCTTAACATTTGGGAGTTGTAGTTGCTGGGATTTATAGTTCACCTACAATCAAAGAGCATACTGAACCCTACCAACGATTGAATTGGGCCAAACTTCCCACACAGAACCTCCATGACCAACAGAAAATACTGTGTTTCTGGGTCTTTGGCGACCCCTCTGACACCCCTCGCGACCCCCAGGGGTCCCGACCCCCAGGTTGAGAAACACTGGTCTAGAGGCATTCTCTCAGAGGTAGTGAGGTCTGTTGGAACTAGGAAAAAGGGTCATTCCACAGATATATAAACCCATTTTCCTAGTTCCAACAGACCTCAGTACCTCTGAGGATGCTTGCCATAGATGCAGGCGAAACCTCTTTGCTCTAGAACATGGCCATATAGCCCGAAAAAACCTACAACAATCCAGTGATTCCTGCCATTTAAAATGGAGAAAAGCACCTCCCCAGAGCCAGAGATGAGCACCGCCTCCAGAAGCCAGAAATGAAAGGAGAAGCCTCTGCTTTTGTTTGTGTTTGTGTGTCTCATTGTATAGTATATTATTGTAAAGGCATTGAATGTTTGCCTGTGTGTGTAAATGCTGTAATCCACTCCGAGTCCCCTAGGGGAGAAGGGCAGAATATAAACAAAGTGTATTATTATTATTATTATTATTATTATTATTATTGACCCCCTGGTGATGCAATGGGTTAAACCGCTGTGCTGGCAGGACTGAAGACCGATAGGTTGGAGGTTTGAATCTGGGGAGAGCACGGATGAGCTCCCTCTATCAGCTCCAGCTCCTCATGTGAGGACATGAGAGAAGCCTCTCACAAGAATGATAAAAACATCAAAAATCATCCAGGCATCCCCTGGGCAATATCCTTGCAGATGGCCAATTCTCTCACACCAGAAGCAACTTGCAGTTTCTCAAGTCGCTCCTGACACGACAAATTATTATTATTATTATTATTATTATTATTATTATTATTATTGTGGAGTCCCTGGTGGTGCAGTGGGTTAAACCTCTGTGCCGGCAGGACTGAAGACCAACAGGTCGGAGGTTCGAATCCAGGGAGAGCATGGATAGACTCCCTCTGTCAGCTCCAGCTCCCCATGTGGGGACATGAGAGAAGCCTCCCACAAGGATAGTAAAATATCAAAACATCCGGGCATCCCCTGGGCAACGTCCTTGCAGACAGCCAATTCTCTCATGCCGGAAGTGACTTGCATTTTATCAAGTTGCTCCTGATATGAAATTATTATTCTTCTTATTATTATTATTATTATTATTATTATTATTATTATTATTATTATATGTTAAGATTCACCCCACTGTGTTAACCAGAGTCACTCCATTAAGCCCATCATGGATTCATGTCATACTGCATTCCTTTTCTGATTACGCTCCTCTCAGTCTGACACTCCAATGACATTTTTTAAAATTTCCCACCACAAAAAGACAACCAGTGATGATGTCCATTGGAGTCCCGACCCACTCAGAGTGCAGATTCTTGCCGAACAGTTTTTCAGCCAATCAGGAGCTGGAATGGGTTTCTTGACTGGCTATCAGATGAAATGAAAAGTGCTGCACTTTCAATTGTGTTATGTCAGTACTTTGGAGTGCTTTCTCTGCTGACATCCTCTCTGGCCAATGAGAATAAACCTCTGCCTTTGCCTTCCACTGGTCTGTTGTCCGATTTGGCCTTCCATCCCAAATTCCTTCTTCTTAGCAGGGGGTTGGACTGGATGGCCCCCGTGGTCTCTTCCAACTCTATGATTCTACGATTCTGGAAAACTAAACATGCCAGGCTCCCTGAACCCACAAATTTAGTGGAACTGATATCACTCGACAAAGGACCACTTTGTAATGTTCCATAGCCAACCAGACCTTGTGTTGCAAGCATGGGCAATACAAGTGAACAAGTAAGGGAGAAAATAATCAAATAGCTGATCTTAAAACTGGCAAAACAATGGCAAAAACAACCTCTCTCAAACTCCTATGTTATTTTAGATCAGTTCTAATTTCCATTTTCTTGCAACTGAGTTGGGAGCCGAGTGTCTCTATTTTCTCCATATCAGTTGGATGCCCTTGTTTTCCATGGCACTCACTTCTCTTTCTTGTGCAGGTGGGAGACCTCACAGAGCTCAATGTTTTCTGGCTGATGGATTATCCTATCTCTCTTGCCTTTCTGCTTTGTCCCAAATTGCCTGACAGATCTTTGCAAGCTGACGTCCCCTTTGTTCCTATTTGCTTCTGGACTCATTAAAGGAGAGCCCCTGACCCCTCTCCTTTGATGCGCTGGCACCTCCTTTTGGCCACTCCGTCTTTCCTATCTGCGATTTGCCTCTCTTTGTGTTGCCATTTGACGTCGCCTTCTAATGGCCATTTCTAATCTCAGTGTCCCTAATAGGATTCTCGTCCGGCGTATCTGAAATGTGTAGGTATGGATTTTGCAGCTCTGGGTAATAACACTCACTAATGTGCTGGAGAGTTAGAACTGCACCAAACAATTCACTTTGACGGAGTTAGCGCAATCCAAGATTTATACACATAACACATTCTGAAGAGGGACGGTGTGAACAAACAAATGTGTTTTCTCTTTAGCATCTGTGCTCTCTGTAAGAAAGTGGACAATTTCCATTTGTTGTTACAGAAAAGCATAAGGTATATGATGTCTGTGCCTTCAAGTCACCTATGGATTTATGGCAATTTCATGGATTTCATGGGGCTTTATGTAGGCAAGAACTGCTCAGAGACTGTTTGTCATGGCTCTCCTCTGGTTGGCCAGGTCTCAGTCTCTGGTTTTCAAAAATGCTGGATTTTGCATGATATTTTTATTATTTTAGTAAGATTTTCTATACCATATCACTTTTTCTTGCACATAAACAGTAGTCTTTGTGCAAAGACACCTGCAGCTGTTTAGAATCAATTGTTTTTTGTATTGTCGAAGGCTTTCATGGCTGGAATCACTAGGTAAGTTTTTCAGTCTGTCTGGCTATGTTTCAGAAGCATTCTCTCCTGACGTTTCACCAGCATCTATGGCAGGCATCCTCAGAAGTTGTGAGGTCTGTTGGAAATTAAGAAAATGGGGTTTATATATCTGTGTGGAATGTTCGGGGTGGGGGAAAGAACTCTTGTTTGTTGGAGGTAGATGTGAATGTTTCAATTGGCCACCTTGATTAGCATTTAATGGCCTAGCAGTTTCAAGGTCTGGCTTCTTACTGTCTGGGGGAATCCTATGTTGAGAGGTGATTAGCTATCCCTGGTTGTTTCTTGAGTTCCCCTGTGTTTGAGTGTTGCTCTTTATTTACTATGATTTTAGAGTTTTTTTAATACTGGTAGCCAGATTTTGTTCATTATCATGGTTTCCTCCTTTCTGTTGAAGATGCCCACATGCTTCTTGTGGATTTCAATGGCTTCTCTGTGTAACCTGACATGGTTGTTAGAGTGGTCCTATTTGGTTCCCAAATAATATGCTGTCTCCAGATTGATTCACCAGGTGCTCTGCTATGGTTGAATTCTGTGGTTGAAGTATTCTGCAGTGCCTTTCATGTTTCTTGATTTGTGTCTGGGCAAATGCTGAGTTTGGTGGTCCCTATGCAGACTTGTCCACAGCTGCATGGTATATGGTAGACTCCTGCAGAGATGAGATCAAGGTTTGTTTGTTTATTTATTTATTTATTTATTTATTTATTTATTGTGTCAGGGGCAACCAGACCATTGTATTACATTTCTAACAGAACAAAACAAACAAACAGATAAAAAAACACAAATTTTGCAAACTTGGTAGTTGATTAAATGTCCTTTGACCAGTATCTGGCCACTTGGAGTACCTCTGGTGTTGCCGCAAGAAGGTCCTCCATTGTGCATGTAGCAGGGCTCAGGTTGCATTGCAGCAGGCGGTCTGTGGTTTGCTCTTCTCCACACTCACATGTCGTGGATTCAACTTTGTAGCCCCATTTCTTAAGATTGGCTCTGCATCTTGTGGTGCCAGAGCGCAGTCTGTTCAGCGCCTTCCGAGTCGCCCAGTCTTCTATGTGCCCAGGAGGGAGACACTCATCTGGTATCACCTATGGATTGAGGTGCTGGGTTTGAGCCTGCCACTTTTGGACTCTTGCTTGCTGAGGTGTTCCAGCGAGTGTCTCTGTAGATCTAAGAAAACTATTTCTTGATTTAAGTCATCCTCAAATGCAAATGCAAGTTGATCAATAGGTACCGCTCTGGCGAGAAGGCCACATGACCTTGGAGGTGTCTATGGTCAATGCCAGCTCTTTGGCTTAGAAATGGAGATGAGCACCTCAGAGTCGGATATGACTAGATTTAATGTCAGGGGAAACCTTTACCTTTCCCTATGCTATTGTTTGTTTGCCCTTTCTTTGCTCCTAAGTTGACCTTCTCTTTCCATGTCCTCTTTCCCTCAGTTCAGAGGCCGGCTTTGGTGAGCATCACTTCAAGACCTTTAAACCGTGACTCCATCGGCAGCATCACACAGACAAAGAAGAGGCAAAACTCATGACTTCCGCCAAGGACCGGCCCCTCAGCGGCTGTTTTTGGACATCAGGAAGCAACGTCAGGACAACATTGTCACCAAGGTAAGAGGTCACCCTTTTGGAGCAAATCTATGGGGAACAGGAGCGAGGTCCACTGCAGACAACAGTCGGAGAATAAGCGATTGGAAAGAGAAGGAAACAGGGATGGAAGCCTTGTACATAAAACACAACTTTGGGGAGGAGAGAAAAGAAAAACCCACACCACATTTGGAGTTTTGTTTGTTTCCTGTCTCCGAACAAGAACGCAAATGGTCTTTGACAATCCTTCCAAGATGGAAATGGCGCTTCGTATCTCGGCACTACATACATTTGAGGGATAGAGACAGCCACTCAGAAATGGGTTTTTGTTGTCGAGGATGTTATTGCTACTACCAACATAAAAAAAAAACCCTTAGTGATTGCTTTAACTGCTTTCTCTTCCTCTGACTGAGGATGTTGCCGGTCCCTGCAGGGAGGTGAGAGGCAATGAGACGAGTTCCTTTGCTGGCCTCCAAGGAACAAAGACAAAATGCTTTTGACCATACAAGAAGGAGGCTCCCAATGGGGCATTGAGCATTTTTAGTAGGGTTTGTTTCATCCTGGTTGATCTCAAGTAACCAGTTTGGGCGAGACACCTTTACCAGCTACTTAACTATCATGCAATGACCCAACCAAATCTGATGGAAACAGCATTCATTCACCCATGTTCCAGTTCCTGAAAGAATGGACCCCCTTCTTCCTGTGTGGTCAGATCCCTAGTCAGGATAGGTTACATAGTTAGGTACAGGAAACCCTTATCTGTGTTGGGATTCAACCCCACACTGCCCAAGTCTTAAGTCCTCAATGAGGAGCAAGTTAGTTAGTGGGGTGTTGTGAGTTTTCTAGGCTGTATGGCCATGTTCCAGAAGCATTCTCTCCTAAGTTAGTTAGTTTTCCTTAACGCAAAATCATAACAACCCACAGGTTCGCTTTCTATAGTTTCAGTTATCCACAGTCAGCCATGGTCTGCAAATATTACATAGTCCACCTTTCTCCTTGGTCTTGTTTTACTTGTAGTTGCTTGAGCTTAACTGTGGTTAGAAAATATTCCACACTCCCCCTTTTATTTATTTATTTCATATCAAAAGCATTGCATAAATTAGTATAAAACTGATAAAAATAGAAGCAGCGCAGGCAGCTAAATGTCTTTTGACCAAAAACGGGCAACAGCAACGGCATTGTCTGGAGCCTCTAACAATTCTTCCTCTAACATGAGGCAGGGCATAGTGGACAAGCATACAGGTGCAGAGTTGTCTGTCCTGCTCCACAGTCACTCAAGGTGTGGGATTCTTTTAGGTCGTGCCATTTTGCCAGGTTGTCTTTTTATCTGCCCACTTCTGAGTCTGTTCAGGGACTTCCAAGTTGCTCATTCTTGGTTTTTCCCTGGAGGGGGACCCTAATGGGGGGGGGGGGGGCAGGCATCCAACTGGGATTTCCCCCTTTATCCACATATCCACTTTCTGTGGTTTCAACTATTTGCAGTCAACCATGACTACTACAAGGTTCACTACTAGCTGTTGTTTCAGGCATAAGTGGAAAGTGAGGAGCTGAGTTGCTCTCTTATTCTAGCTTGTGCCGTATTACCCTGAAAAAAGATCAAGCTAATGCCGCTGTCTAATAAGGCTTCCTCCATCTCCAGCTAGCTCTGTGTGCGAGCGCGAGCTTGTGTGTGTGCTGCTGCTGAAATGAAAGGTTGCGTCCAAAGCTCTGGGGACGCCTTGTATGAAGGGGTTTCATCCTTCAAGTGACAGAGAGGAAAAACGAAGCAGGAGAGGAAAGGGAGAAGGGAGAGGGGGAGAGAGAGAAAGGAAAGGGAAGAGGGACAACTTCTAAATAAATGCGTGCAGTCAAGTACATCTCTTTTGGAGCGGTATGCAATTGTCATCCATACTGCTGTTATTCAAAATACACTTTTCAAGGGGACAAAGAGGAGCACTTTAATGGAAACCAAACACGATGAGCAAAGGCACCACTGGATAAAGGGATCATTTCCATTTTTTTAGACGATCCCTCATAGTCTGAGGATGATGGTCCTCCAAGTGTAGTGACTTAGGGGTGGATACTATGTAATTTTCAAGTGTAAGCAAACAGTATTTTGCCGTCCCCGCCCCCAAACCAATCACTGAAAAATAAAAGGTAGAAGGTAGAGGTGAATAAAAGAGTTACCTTGTGGGGTGCCTCAAGAGTGCCCCTCGGGGATTTGCGCTATACACAAATGCGTATCTTGCCTATTGCTTCAGCTGCCCCTGTGTAGGTGACTGTGAGTCCTGTTTTTGATCCGCATGTTCTACCACAGTGAGGACATCAGTTTCCAGGTGGAAGGCAGTCCTGGTCATGGTTGGCTTGACGTGTCTTCATCTTGGCACATTTCTCCCTTTTGCCCTCCATTCATGCCTCTTCGAATTCTGCAGCACTGCAGATTACAGCTGACCTCCAGCTGGAGTGCTCAAAGTCCAGGGCTTCTCAGTTCTCGGTGTCTATGCCACAATTTTTAAGGTTGACTTTAAGCCCATCTTTAAATCTCTTTTCCTGTCCACCAACGTTACATTTCCCGTTCTTGAGTCGGGAATAGAGTAACTGCTTTGGGAGACAGTGATCAGGCATTCAGACAATGTGTCCAGACCAGCAGAGTTGATGGCGTACAGCATCGCTTCAATGCTGATGGTCTTTGCTTCTTCCAGCACTATGACATTTGTCCACCTGTCCTTCCCAAGAGATTTGAAGGATTTTTCAGAGGCAACTCTAATGGAAGCGTTCCAGGAGTTGAGTGTGACAATTATTTCCATTACTACGATAGGGACCAAAGGATAATTTTGAAGTCATGACATAGTTCTTCAAACCATCATCCAACTTTGGCTCTTTAACACAATATGGACTTGGTTGGTCTAGTACAGTGGTTCTCAACCTGGGGTCCCCAGATGTTTTTGGTCTACAATTCCCAGAAATCCCCGCCAGCTTACCAGTTGTTAGGATTTCTGGGAGTTGAAGGCAAAAAACATCTGGGGACCCCAGGTTGAGAACCACTGGTCTAGTAGCTCAACTAACTATACTCAGCTACTTTTGAAAGATCTGAAAGGATTTAGTGCCCCAGGTGTAGTTACTGCTATCTAGGCTAAAGATAAGAGTAATACTCAGAGTGGCTGGATGTAAGCTGATGATTCCTCATGAGGAAGGAATTATCCCTGCCAAGAGCAACGTTTGCATCGTTGGCAACCTGCAATGGGAGCAGGAAGCCTTGTCCTGAACTTTTGAAGGCATTGCTCCACTTCTGCAGCCAGAACACTCAAATTTCATTGCATCCAGTGTGGGAAGAGCCACTATTAGGGGCCTGTCTTTCCCAGTGGGATATAGTTATGCAGAATGTGGAAAGGGTGAATGCACCAGCCCTTGGCATCTATTAGGGTGTAGTTCCAGGATCTCACCATAGATACCCAAATCCATAGATGCTTAAATTTTATTATATACTAGCTTGGGGTGGTGCCTTAGTTATTTGAGAAAGGCAATGTTTGTTTTTCGATGTTTGGTAATACCAGTTTGCTAATGTATTATAAAGAGCCTCCAGTGGCGCAGTGGGTTAAAGCGCTGAGCTGCTGAACTTGTTGACCGAAAGGCCGCAGGTTCGAATCCGGGGAGTGGCATGAGCTCCTGCTGTCAGCCCCAACTTCTGCCAACCTAGCAGTTCAAAAACATGCAAATTTGAGTAGATCAATAGGTACCGCTCTGGCGGGAAAGTAATGACACTCCATGCAGTCATGCAGGCCACATGACCTTGAAGGTGTCTACAGACAACACCGGCTCTTTGGCTTAGAAATGGAGATGAGCACCAACCCCCAGAATCGGACACGACTGGAGTTAATGTCAGGGGAAAACCTTTACCTTTACTTTAACGCTATTTATTAGGGGGGGAAATCTTTCCCTTTGTTTTTTTTATGAACATTTCCATTAGAAAATGCATAAGGATGTGGGTGAACTACAATTCCCAGAAACGTGGATCAATCCTTTCCAAGCCCTGCTATTATTCACAGATGCCCATGTTGGTTCTGTGTGCCAAGTTTGAACCCCTCCAGTCCGTTGGGCCAAACTTCCCACACAGAACCCCCATGGCCAACAGAAAATACTGTGTTTTCTGATGGTCTTTGGTGACCCTCTGACACCCTCTTGCGCCCCCCCCCCCGGGGTCCCGACCCCCAGGTTGAGAAATACTGCCATAGAGGCCAATCCAACCCCTTGCCTTGTAGGAACACACAATCAAAGCACCCCAAACAAATGACCATCTCTTCTTCTCTTGGACTTTTTGGTTTGGTGGTGAAGGCAAATACATGTATTAAAGATGGGTGGATTAATTGGGGCTGTCCTTGCCATGCTGGGACAGTTGGAGGGGAGAGGATGCTATGGTATGTCTTCAGATCCAAACTCCTAAGAGACGGGTTCCTTCTTCCATCCTCTTTGGTTTTGTGGCATGTGTTGGTTTGCTGCTTTAAGACTCCGAAAAGAATTGCCTCTGATCAAGGTGACGGAGGGAGCTTTTCTGAACTGAAATGGGAAAAGAGCGAGGTTCATAGAAACGCGAACAGCCTGGAAGGTGTTGTTGATCTGCTTCCTCACTCCCCACTCAATGATTAACATCCAACAATAGCCTTGGTTTAATCCACTCCCTTATATCAGATGGTAAAATGAGATATCGCACGACTCGGCAGGGAGTTAGACGCCCCGTTATAAAATATATCGCAGGAAGATTAAAAGGCTTCCCGAGATGAAGGCAGGCTGAAGGTATTTATTTATTTACGGCTTTTCACACCACCTGATAATCGAATAGCAACAGGAAGCGGAGCCTCCATCGGACAGCCAGGCCATAAATTTGGCAAACCAATCAGTTGAGTTCTCTGTCTGGCAGCAGAGCTGAGAGGGAGGCAGGTGGAGGTGGTCCGCTCAAAGCCGCATAAAGCACCATGGGGACACTGTCTTCTGCTTTGGTCAGACCTCATCTGGAATAACCCCGTGTCCAGTTGTCTGCAGAAAAATTC